AATGCCATTTTTTTTTTCACAGCTCCGTAGCTGCAAACGTTCTATAATGAAAAATAATAACACTCTTAACAGAAAAGTAGCAGATGCCATTCAGCAGTTCCAATCTGACCTGGTCCACAGATAGACATGTACCCCATGGACTTGGGAGGAGGGTGGGGACAAGATGTGCCTATATGCTGTTTACCTATGTTTACCTCTGGCAATTCTTGTGAAAAATACCATCTCTGGATGCATCCAAACAATTTAATTTAGGATAAAAAGATAAGGATTTTTTTTATAGGATTGTACTTTGTGGTGTAGCTGGTGGCCCCCACTGGGCCAGAATAATTCCTGAGCAATCCCTGGGTAAGGAAGAGGCAGAAAATCTCCCAGAGAATCTCCCCCAACTCCTCATCAAACAGCCATCAGGTGTGGTCAGCTTCCGGAGGTTTAAATAGCTTCTTTATGGAGTAGGTGGAAGCCCAGGGAGAAGGGTGGGTGTGCTCCACCCACACTTTCCTTTATTGCTGAATTAGAGCTGACCAAGGGATGCACAGAGAGATTTTGTCCAACTGGCCTGGTGTGTTCATTGCATGGAAAACAAAGCCTTCTGGTTTCCCTACTAGCTTTGTGAGCTATTGTCTCTCTAGCCAGAAAGAAACAGTCATGCATCCAAGCTGTTTTTTCTCTATATGATTATTTTGAATTGCAAACATAATACACACTAGTAACAAATTCAGACCAGTGCATGAAATGCAAATGGGGTGGACTATGGCACTGAAGTATGGCATCTCCCAGGAAGGGAGATGAATGTGACATGCTTTGTGTCCCAGGCAGGGAGACGACAGAGCAGGTGTGGTAGGTGCTGTTACAGAGCTGTCCCAAGTGCCTGGGGACACAGGATCAACTCTGAGAACTGCCCTTTGGGCTTCCAGGCTGACAAGGCCATTTAACCCACTTTGCTGCTGTTTCACAGTTTGCGTCCCCCAAGTCTCTCCCACCTCCTCTGCAGCTCTGTGCCCCAGGAGGCTGACCCTAACAGACCGCATGACCCTGGCTCTATTGCCCTCTGGTCAGGGCTAAACAATGGGAGGTACCAGGAGGAGGGAGGGTCAGGTGTATTTATTTCCCTGGCATCCACTCCTCTGAGATGACAGCCCCTACACCAGGGCTCTGGCACTCCATCCCTCGGGACTCAGTGATGGTGGCTGTTCTCTGGGTGTCTCAACATCCCTGAGTGGTTCCCTTAATGTCCCCACCTCTGAGAAGCCCCTTCATGGAAGTCTGTGTGGAAGCATCTATCCTGTTGCAACGAACTGTTTAAGATTCTGTCTCCTCTCCCAGTGTGGGAGCTGGGAATGTTTTTTTAGCACAGTTCACTTAGTCCATTTTGCACTGTGGACTGAACTAAATTGCTGAGTTGACCAGGGGTGTTGGACCCTTTACTGGGAGGTGACCTTAGGCCTGGGTCTTAAAAGGCACTGTGTGTGGATGACCACATCACTGCGCCCAGATGGGGCTTACCCTGGTGCAGGCCCAGGCAGACACATCTTAGAGCAACCAGAGTAATGTGCCCCCAGCACAGGTCCTGAATCACACCCATCTGTTAGTGATGACGAGGACAGTGATGGCTATAGTGCCGATGATGGTTGTGATGGATTGTCCACTCACCTGAGTCATGGGAGGATTTCACTTTAGAACCATGTCCCTCTGCCATATTGCAAGATAATATTTACCTTTTGGGGTTTACTTTGCATATAATGTCGTGTTGCAATTTTAAGAGTACAGTTAGATGAGTTTTGACAAACTTATTTACCTGTGTAACCACCACTCCCACCAAAATACAGAACATTTTTGTCATTCCAGAAAGCTCTCTTATGTCCCTTTCCACTTAATTCCTTACCCAAGCTCTCTAAATCCCATCCCCCTCAACCAAAGCCAGCCACTGTCTGATCCGCACCCACCTTCCTCTTCCCAGCCTCAGGACCTGTGTCCACTGGATTCCTGGTCGCCACTCTCAAACCAGGCTGGTGGTTACCTCTATGCCTCTTCCTATGCTGCTCTCTGGGAGGCATCTGCCTTTACGCCTTGCACCTGACTAACTCCCTCTCTTTAAGATTCCTCCAGGAAGTCCCCCTGATCTTCTCTTCCACTCAGGCTGGATTAGGCACCCTTCTACAAAGTTCTGTATTGTGCTGACTGGATCTCCATATAGATTCTGTTTTGTAACATTTCATTCAAATATTCTCCTCCGTCATTAATGTGTGAGCTCCTTGAGACAGAGGCTGGGTCATATTCCATTTGGAATTCCAGACTGTCGCACAATGCCTGGCATGCAATATGTTTGTGATTTAAATGCATAGGTGAATTAAATCAGTCATGTTTTCCAGGATACTGTCACTACACTTTAACACCACATTGCACATTAGGTCCCTTTAGTTGCAAGAAATGAAGACTCAATATATGTGGAAGGGTTTGTGAAGATACATGTGCCCTTGGAAAGGAACAGAGCCAGGTTAGGCCTAGGAATTTCTCCACTGGCCTGGTGGCTCCCCTGCTGCTCTCAGCCTGTTTAGGTTGTTTGCTTCTCTTTTCAGATTGGCTTCCTCTGCTCACCTTTCATTTCTGCTTCCTCACGACATCAGCCTGCCTTTGACCTCACCTCCCTCTGGCCCTCGCTTTACCCCCGTCTGGCTCCAGCTGACATCTGTGAAGGCAATAGTCTACCAAGCTCATCTAAGCTTTGCAGATCCACGTCATGGCCACATCGTGAGCTGGGGACCGGCTGCAGGGTCACATGCTCAGCATCCCTGGTCCAGTGAGCTCAGGGTGGGTCACAGTGTGGCTGCTTGGAGAGCAGGGCCTGTTGGAATGGTGGGGAGGAGAGTGGTTGACATTCTGGGGCCTTTGCTATCCTATTACCCTTGCTGGGGCCCAGAAAAATACACAAGGCTATTTTTGCCCCCTTTGCTTCCAAATAATTTAACAACTTTTCTCATCCTTGAACTTACCTCCTGTCTGCTTAGGTTTATAGAATTAAGGAACATCGAAACTGGAAGGGACTTCATAGTTCATCTGCTCCAGCTGATCCCAGTGTGTGTTCTGTATAACACTAGGCCCCAAAGAGGCTCCATAAGAAAGTCAGGCTATTCCAGTACTTGCCTTGGGTCTTAGCTGACACTAGGAACACACTTCTTAGTGGCCTAACTTGTCTGTCAGGATCTCTGGTCTTCTGCCTGGATGGACCCTGTAGGGTCCTGGGTCTTCTACAGCCGGGAGGGACTCTGAATCAGGAGTCCATGGAAAGCAGCCAGAGGGCACCAGCCATGAGACTCTTGAAACTGTTTGCAAACTCGAGTCAGTGGTGTGTCAATGTGTGCATGTGTGCACACACGAGCGTTTCTTGAGGAAGTGTCTGTAGCTTTCATCACATTCTTACAGATATGTGTGACAAAAAATATGGGTAAGAATCACTGCTTTAAAGGGCCTTCGGTGTGCCTTCCTGAGGCAGACCCCTCTTTGTTCTCTTTCAGCTTCAACATCTTATGTGCCACAATCAATATCCATCCAAGGAGGAGGTGCTTCACATGGCAAACTTGAATGGCCCTGATGGTTACTTAGGAGGGTCATACCTCTAGATAAGAAAACACAAAAGACCAAAACAATAAAATATAAGCCACCCAGACCAGAGAGTTGGCCCAGTAGGATCCATAGCTTTCATCTTTCTTCTTCACTTCCTTCCTTTTTTTATCAACCAAGATCTCATCAATTCCACTTGGCAATTGGTTTTCTCTAACATTTCTAAACATGTGTTGAGTTCCAAGCCCTGCCTTACACATCTCATTAAATGATATAGCAAGTCTTCCGTGAAATGTCATTATCACGTTTTCAGTTTTACTCCAGATGAAAGAATTGAGGCGTAGAGATTTTTTTTAAATTTTGGTATCATTAGTATACAATCACATGAGCAACATTGTGATTACTAGATTTTCCCCATCATCAAGTCCCCATGACGACCCCATTACAGTCACTGTCAATCAGTGTAGTAAGATGCTATAGAGTCACTACTTGTCTTCTCTGTGCTGTACTGCCTTCCCAGTGCCCACCCCTACTTTATGTGTGCTAATTGTAATGCCCCTATTCCCCTTCTCCCTCCCTTCCCACCCACCCTCCCAAGTCCCTTTCCTTTTGGCAACTGTTAGTCCATTCTTGGGTTCTGTGATTCTGCTGCTGTTTTGTTCCTTCAGTTTTT